ACTTATATGTAACTTTGATATATGTTGACCTCTCTACGACAATATAGTTAAAGAATTTTAAATTATGTTATCAAATCGGACCTGGGTAAAATTGATTGCATCTGTACTCTATGTTCAAGTTTACCTTTAAGAGTAATATCAAAATATTGAGTTTCTCATTTTTGCACATGATTATTCACCAAATGTTTGAACACAGCAGAGTCAGTTATAGTGGTCTCATGTTCAACTATAAACACTATTAATCAGGGATAAATTTACTCTCAGACAGAATGAAAAAATGAACGATTTCCTTAGTTTATGACATTTTCATGTATTTGCTTAAACCATGTCTTTGCATCGAATAATAAAAGTGATCTTTTATTAATTTGTTAAAATATGTGTTATTTCCTTAATTTATGTGCATACAAATATTTCATACGAGAAACAGTTTTCGCCAGAAAATTAATTCAGGATGAATTTGTTCTAAAATGCAATATGATAATTTTGTACGAAATTTGTTTAACCCCGACTGTCATCATCCATTTCTACAATGTAACTTGAGAGAAACGTTTCATGTTGTTTACTATTAGATCACTCAAATCAGCTGGCAATAAATTCCAGTTTTCCATTATAATAATTTAATGTTTCTCGCTGTTGTTTCGTAGTGAAATGTTGGTGGTAACTCACATTACAGTGCTCACTTGTCTTTAGGAGATACTGTACTTATACATATTGAAATGTTAGATTAAACGGACTTGTAACATCTGCCGCACTAGTCTGCTTATCCTAGTGCTATATTTTGTTCTCAGCATAACAGACCGTAAACCATGAATTGTTTTGCAAATAAAGTCTGATTCTCTTCGTTACATGCCGTCGAGACACTAGGTGTTCTCGAAAGGCGCGCAATAGAAGCTGATAAAATATTCTCAGTTGTTCAAGTAAGCGAGAGATTTAATTTATTTACAGTATGCGACTCTTGTTTTCATGAAGAAAAATTAAGATTCGGAATAATTAGTAAAAGAATCTGAGGCTCCTTAAAACTTGGGATTCTAGCCTGAAGATTTTCAGCTTAGGACGCTTTAGATTTAAAGCAATAGTAATTCTAGGCGTTAATTTGCTGAAGGAGCAGAGAATTAGAGCTTTGAAACTGATAATGAAATTAATTTACGTTTCAACTAATTTACATCTTCATTTGAACCGTATTTAATTTCCACATTCTAAAGCAACGAAGCAGAGCAGAACCGGAAACTAAAAATAACTGAATAATAGCTTATAATACAAGTTACAAAATGTAACATAAATGCGACCACAGATTCTTATACTATTCTTATTTATCTTCTAGTTTTTATTCTTTGTTCGCTTGTTTTTCGTAGACTAAATATTGTTTATGAAATTGATTTTAGGCACTTAACAACTAATGTAACTTTATTTTGATGAGGAAATATATTTGCTCTATGCGGCCCACTCACAGAACTACTTCTTTTCATAATCCGCATATCACTGTAATTCTATCACAAGGGGTAAATATTTTCTGCTTTAACTTTTTTTCTTACCTTACTTACTTCAGAAATGAAATGAAAATGAAAAATTATTTTTTATACAATAAGCTTTTATTTAAAATTGATATGGTAATTAATAACTTAAAAGGCGAAAAATAAATTAATTACGAAAAATAACTTATTTAATAATTACCTATTTTAAAATAATTTATTTAAATAGTTTAAGGCGAAAAATAATTTGAAAACATTCAGATTTTCTATTATGCATAAAGGGGCGTTTTTTCATTTGCATACACTTACACGTTTCAATAGCATTTGGGCTAAAATTATTTAAGAATAACCCTATATTTAGAATTTCCGATAGACAAACTTAAATTTTTTTTTTCGTACAGTGTTGCCATTGCTGGCTTTGAAATCGTTGAGTTTGCAAATAAAAAAATCGCTAAAATTTTACAAAATTTGAAATACACAATAAATCGAAATCAAAATTCAAAATTCGCGCTCTTGTGCGCCCATATTCGGATAGAGGACTACGTTGTTCAGAATTTGATTGTTATAGGTATCGCTGTATTTTCACAATGAATAACCATGCATATATTCATGCAAATTCTTCATTATATAATTATTTTAAATTTAAAACAGGGCGATAGAATTTGGTGGTTACAAGCTGAAAAATGATTCAGACTTTATAGTGATTCAAAGCAACATCCCGTTTTGAGACTAATAGTTCTTCTGGGCTAATAACTTAATGTCATTCTGGGATTCGAATATTCTATTTCGGAAATTGGATGTAACAGCAACGTTGCAACGAGCATTTTACTGAAACTCAAATGAAAAACCGAATATCGTCAATTCATTTTTAAGTTCGCCAAGATCGCAAAATTCGTGATTAAGTGTGCCATGATGGCTAACTGAAAAGCAATTTTTCACGAGAAACGCTTTTTAACTACCCGTCTCCTTTATACTGCAAAGTATTTTTTAAAGAAATATGGAAAGTCGCTCAATTAACAATTTTATCTTATCAATTTATTCTTGTTTCAAAAGAGGAAAAAGTTTGTTTTATGACCTATGAAAATTTTGAAAAGTCAAGCAAAAACCATTGTCACGTTTCAAAGTCAAGCAATTTGACATTGAAAGTCAAATTGCTAAAAAAAATCAAGTAATTTTCAAAAACTCGCAAACAATTCAGAAATTAATTTACAATTTTCATATTCATTGATTATATTTTTCCGCTGTATTCGTTGGTACGGACAGTAAAATTCTGACCTGCTCATTTTGTTCGTTAAACAAAAATAAGTGGAGAAAATCGGTTAACATTAAATTTAAAAATATAAATTAAATTTTAAAAACAAAATCGAGAACAAAATCCATTCGCAGTGAAACACCGTAAGTGAATTAAATATAAGCTTAAAAAAGAAGAAAAATATAACAGACTGCATCACGTGGTCTCTGCCTGTGTCTTTGGGTGCGTGATTATATGTGAAAAAAAACTCAGTTGAGGAGATCTCACCTAAAAGTGTGGAAGCAAGCTCATTATCTTTTTTTTTTAATTTTGTGCAATCAAATTTATTTTTTTATTTCATTTATTTATTATTATTATTATTTTTTTTAATTTTGTGTTTTAATTTTGAAGAGGGCGTTACAAGCTGATTACTTTTTCAAATTACGTGTGCAGCTTTCGAAAGAAAATATTTATTTTTTATCCTGCTGCTATTTTATAACTAAATTATGGCCTCCTAAATACCTTTTGTTTTAACTTTATGGCAAAAAATCTTTGTTATAAGAAAGAATAGTAAGGGTTTACTTAAACAATTTCAGAAATTACTTGAGAAGACGACTTTGTCATCCCCAAACCAGTATTGAATAATATGTATGCAGTCGAAGATAGTTAAAGGGTATTATTAATATTTCTACCTTTTTCTTATGATTTGTCAAATTAATCATGTGATCTGATTCTGAAACAATTCGCTAAGCTACTGAGAATTATCATTATTCGGAACTAATCTGCAAGTGTTTAACTATATCGAAATGTTTATTATGCTTTTCCTGCCTCTGTTTAGCTCTTGCTAGAAATCTTGCTTTACAGGGAATGTTAGCTTTTCTTTCACTTTCGATCAACTTTAAAATTCCTCAGCATAGTTTCGGTTTATTCTGCTACTCTTATATAATCCCCAAGAATTTAAAATGGTTCTACTTATTCAATCAGGAACGTCTGCTTATAATCTAATTAGAATACTTATAGTCATTTATAAATTATGATATATATATCGAATCGGATTCCCAATAACTTTCGTTCTTGCTTAAAATCTGTTATAGCAAAAGCAATTAAACAAAATCTGAAATAAGAGTAGTTCTCTTTTTTAAAATTTGATTATAATTATTTTATTTAATTAATAATTATAATTACTCTATTTTTATTAAAGCGTGTATGATTATATTTTTCAATGTGATTGGATTTCATTTTTTTCTTTCACAGACTTCAGATTATACTGTTTATTGTAGCATGTGTCACTTGTATCATGTAGCATGTGTAATATGTGTTAAAATACGTTTAAGCTTTATTCACTCAACTTGGCATAGATTTAAGCACTTTTTAAAATGCAGAAGGTAAAGCACAAATCTTTCAACATGAACGCGTCTTTCAAATTGCTGTTTTTCATGATACTTCTAAATATTTTCAGAGATTTATATCTCCTATTTAAAAGAAAGTGTATTGCATAAAATCCAGAGTTTTTTTCTGTAAACTTTCAGCAGTAATAGAGTTTTAACACATGTTGCAAATCCAAGGCTCAGTATCAAATTCTGAAAAATAAACCTTTCAGCATACACAAAAAGTTTTGCTTCTGAAATCTTCATCCATAATAACGGATATCAATATTCTCCATGACTTCTGTATGTTCTTTCAATTAAAATTATGTTTTTAGTACATCCCCATCTACATAGTTTCGTAAATGTTCTTAGAAAAATTTACTTAAAAACACTCCACTTCACCAAAATCCCCATAAGATACAATTATCTTAACGTTATTATAGATCCATATAGTTCATTAATAGGCATACATACATTGCAAAAACAACCGCAATTCTCCATTTATCAGAAGAAATACTTTCTGCCTCCTTTATTCATCAGGTCATTGAAACTTACTTCAAATGTTTAACTTTCATGTCACCAGATATTCAGATTTATGAAACTGTTCCGTTTTTTTTTCTCGAAGCACACGCTGAAAACCTGGTGTGCATTTTATAGCGATTATTGAATTTATGCTTTACATTGTTCTAAAACAAATAAAGGGCTTCATGTCTATTAAATGAATTATCACCATAGTGTTTTACGCAAATGATAACCATGCTGATTTCATGATTCAAATGAAAGAAACAAACAGTCATTCGTTTAAATTTTTTTAGAAGGATTTACTTTATTTAAAGATCCTGTATGTATAATATATAATGATAAATTCTGAAACAGTGTGCAATAGTTCTTCTCAAATTATTATAAAACCAATTAATATTTTTTTCTCCTCAGGTTTGTGGCAGTGACACGCCCATTACGTCCACGTATGACCAAAACGCTTGCTTTTTCCATCATTTGTCTAGTATGGTCACTGAGTGCTATCCTTTCAGTGCCATCTGTATTGTACGCAACCACAATTACGTACAAATATGTGAACCAAGGACAAAGGACGCTCTGCTTGTTAGTTTGGCCAGATGGAGAACCTGGAAAATCGTACGCCGACCATGTGTGGGTAACATTTCTGTTTATATGTTATATTCAAAGTGTGTCAGAAATATGGCTACATGTAGCTAATGCTATTGCTATATGTATTGTAAAATCGTCCATATCGTCCAAATAGTCCATATCGTCCAAATCGTAAAATCGTCAAACATATATAAGTACCTCTGGTATAACATCACTATTGGGAATGTCATCTGGTCGCATAACAATATGTATATGTTATATTGTTTATATCTGCCTCCCCCGAGATGTAATTACTCCTGCTATGTACATCGTTTAATGCCACAATAGTAACACTATATAAATATGTACAAGTTGTATTAATTTTTCAACTGTAACATTAAAATCTCTTCTCATATAATAGTTGCACCATATAGTAATTTGCAAGTTATTTATTAGCAGTTGATTGTATCGCATGTCTTCTACGTATGACTCTACATTCCATTACTTCGATTTGCTCTATGTATTACATCCGCATTTCTATATTGAACTAGTGTACTATTTTTATCTTATATGTCACATAATATGTGCACGCATTTTTTAGTATGCGTATGTATATGTACCTCTGGTATAGTGTCACTTGTGAAGGTAGTGGGGACGCTCAACAATCTGTAAATATTACATATGTTATATAGTCTATATCCTATTCTTCTAGATGTAATTACTCCTGCTATGTACATGCTTTATTATTATGTAATACTAGTTACATGTGTTAATGCTTTTCTCTAAATAGTGGCGGGCGTGGTGCTGTACTGATTAACCACAATGGTAAAGGGACAGTGCCCACGTCTCCCGTCACTTATCACTTATATGTATTGTAAAACATGTAGCATGTGTTAGTTGTGTTGTCGATGTAAGGAAACGCACATTATATTTGAAATTTCATTTTTTTTTCATTTTAAATAAATACCATGCACTATAGCTGACATCATTAGCCAAAATTTTATCTGAACATACAGTAGCAGTCAAAGTTGCAACAAAGGTATTTGCATTTGTGGTCTCCCGTGTAGCAGTTCATTGTTGCCTAGATCATTTTAGGCACCAATACAGCTAATTAAATAATAGTTTCCTCCAATGCCAGTGAGGTCATGAGGCAGATGACACGCGGATTTGATACAGCGTTGTTGCCTACTACAGTGAGAAACATCCAGAAGGCACTCCTGAAAGGATTGGCAGTAGTGCCGGTGTAGCAACTCCAATATGGATTGCCAGCGTTTGAATTAGCGAACAGTTTGATGCACAAAGTGAGTCTATTTGACATTGGTATGTACTGGTCTTTAATTTCAAAACTTGGCTTTCAAGTATCCTTTACTCACGTCACTTGCTTGGCCTTTAAACTTCATATAAAACATGAAGCGACATTTCTGATTCACTGTATACAGAACTTTATTATTAAAAAAACTTTTTATAATTTTAACTTCTTTGTTATTTGACTCTATTTTGTGTAATATTAGTACGGTAAAATGCACTTTAATAATATCAATATTAACATTTTTTTAATTACTTACCCAATTTAAAAGAAGTTACAATTTAAAATTTTATATAAGAATCGTATAGATTTAATATTGTTATTGTTACATTTTCTTCAATTATCTAAGAATGGGAATTATGACATTCGCTCACAATTTCTTTAACTTGGTTTCTATACTTTCCTTCTCTAGTTTACACATCTTAGTTGAAAGTTTGAAACTTTGAAATAGCGTATATTAGTGTATTATTACACTTCTTACATTGGTATCCGAATAATGTAGCATACTATTTATCTTTAAATGTATGAAAATTATGCTAATTTTTTGTTGTTACTTTCTTTTTAGGTACAATATCATATTCTTCATCGTAACGTATGTCATTCCAATGGTGTGCATGGCCTTCACATATACATGGGTAGGATGTATTTTGTGGGGAAGTAAAGTTATTGGCGAGAATTCAGACCGCCAGAATGAAGTCGTAAAAGCAAAGCAAAGGGTAAGGCTTCATAATTTTTTATTGCCCTTTATTATGGCTCTTTATATCCCTCATTTCAATTTAAAATACATGCCGTCTTTAACATTATGGTGATTATCATAGGCCAGTTTCCTGTTTCTCGTGGCATAATATCGTTCTACACACTGTGGTGTAACCTAAGCAACGCTTTTCAGTCCTAAAACGATTAAATAACTGCTAGTTTGTGTCACTGCCAACAAATGCTTCAGAAAAGCGTTTCGGACACCTGGCTTTAAAAACAAATTGAAAATGCAATGCCATTTTAAATTGGAAAATTACATCAGTTACAAACTTTTTAATAAAAAATTTACAAAGTTAACATACAGTGTTTTTAATTCGAAATGATTTCATAAACTTTAAAAAATAAAACTTTAAATAAAATAAATTATTAAAGTTAAGTTAAATAAAACTTTTCAATAACATCCCAATCCAAAATCTACTGTTTCAGAATGCCACAAATATTTAACAGCTTAATGGCATTAAACTCAAAAGTACGTAAAGTCTACTCAAAATTCTGCAAGCCATTACTATATTCCTTGGCACTTTATAACAATATCCTTCGCAGAGTTTGATTTCGGAACGTAGATACGATATCATATTTATCAATGTAAATAAGGGGCTGAATAATAAAATGCATCTGCAAAGGAATATGTTACTACATTCTTGCACCTAAAATTGCATCCACTAAGTTCTATAATTATCCATTCCAGCTATCATCGTCACAAATCGGTTTGTGGTAAATGGGTCTAATTTCGTAATACCATTCGAGTTACAAATAGCCGAATTTATTATTCATAGATTAAATTCGAAATATTTTAACGAAAATATATTTGTAATAATGGCATAATAAAAGCTGTTGAACTGAATTTTATGGCTTGAGTACGTAGAACATGATATTTAATAAATAATGGTAACACACAAAAAGTTAAACAAACGCCCCTTTGTAAGTCATTTAAAATCTGAAACCTTTCAGATTTGTATTTTATTTTTTTTTATTTTAAGCTTCACAGAAATAGGGGGAATTAACAAAGAAAATCACTGTCGCTGAACATACGAAAATTATTCTTTCTTATCAGTATAGCAAGGAAATACGTGTCACGGTCTTTCATGCAGTTCGTTAATTTTCTGTGTCACTTAGAAAGCCATTTCATAACAACTTCATATTGATAACAGTTAAGGAGTAACTATTTTAATTTAAACCTGCTTTATTGCCATTAACCGTATGATTATTAAAACAATGGCCTGATTTCTGAAAAACTGCCTGAATTCTATACATTAACTTAGAGACTCCAAACAAAATTAACTGGGATGATTGTTTTACAGTTTATCCGATAGTTGCAATATTAAAAATCTTACGATGACAGTTTTAATGATTAAGAGAGGATATATGAGAAGAATTCATCACTAAATAAAAATATCTCTAGTGGACACCACACGACATTCCAAACTATTAAATTCCAAACATATTTTGCTGCACTTCATTTAAACTTATTATTTCGAAATATATTATATTTCTCATTCGATGAATTCATTTCTCATTTCGCAGTTTTGCAGCAGGGCAAATATACGTTAAAACTCAAAACATGTTCATTAAAAACTGTAAAATAGAGAAAAACCTGAAACACTAAATACAGTTAAAAACAATTAAAATAATTTTTGCAATTAAAACTAAAGTTTCCACTCAAAAAAAAGAAATTCAGCAAGCGGACAGGAAGACCAAGATTTCGGTACATAAAACTGAAAGTTAACTCTTGGTCCCACTGGGAAAAAAGACAGTGAAGGTGGTGCACTAACTGACTAAATTTCTCTACTCTACGTTCACATGTAAAAAATGGCGGCCTTGTTGGACCTAGTGCCACGTCTAAATTATTGATAATTCTACAAATATTGCATGCAGATTAACTAAAGGCATAAAAGCCTTAACCTAAAAATAATAACAATATAATTCAACCACTTTTAAAGCAAAAAATGCGCGATTTACTTACATTTAAGAATAAAAACACTGAGCTCGCTGAGCCGGGTAGCAAGGTGGGAAAATATATATATATATATACATAATCTAAATGCGCATATAATATATATATAATATATATACATAATTAAACTAATGAAATGGTAGTACTCCTATCAAAAATGCCAATTAAGTAAAAACTAGGAATTACAATTTGAAGTCAGCATTAATTCCATTCAACTAAGTCATCAAAACACCAAATACTAAAGGTACAAAATTAGAAAATAAAGAAATAATAAAGAAATTAAAACATAGAAGAGAAAGAGAGAAAAAGAAAAAAGTAAATATTTGTATGTTTTGTATGTAAAAATTGTATGAAAAAAATGTAAAAATGTAGAAATTGAACAATAAAGGCATGAAAGAAATTAAGTAGAAAATCAGTGCAATCCTTTAATTCCTGTGAATTATGGATTGAAGAACTGTTGTGTAGAGGAGGCACTTAAAACTTTGATGAACTATGATGATTCAATAATTTAAAATAGTTCATCAGTTAATTTTGGGTGAACAGAAACACAATGGTTTTCCTAACAAGCTGACTCAGTTGAAATCTAATCGACTGCTCTTGAAAACGTTTGATCCGATTTTTACTGTGTTCCCCTTCCTTTCCTTTTTTATATATTTTTCTATCTCTTTTGTTTTAGGCCTTTCTTCTGGTTTAAATACACTTAGGTGATATGGTCTTTTTGCATTTGGGGGGGGGAGGAGCTTTAGGGATCGTACTAGTTTTATATTTCATTTCTTTCACGTCTTTGTTGTTTAGGTTCTAAATTCATAATTTTTGTATGTAATTACGAAATATTTCTGCAGCATTTTGTAATAAAATGATTTGGAATATTTTTGTTGTAACTACTTTCTGTAATACTTAATATACTTGGTTCGGCCGATTGCAACGAAAAACGGAAGTGCTTAACTACATGTTATAGCAGTTCCATATACAAAATTTCAAAGTTCTACAGTTCCTCATTTCTAACTTATGCCACATACATACATACATACGTACGTATGTGTAGACGTCACGAAAAAGTCTCTTCTGAATTCCTTTTGCAATCCGTTTTCGGGAAAGCAGATAATTGCTTCCTTTGTTTCATTTACTACAGTACATATTTAGTTTCCTTATCGCCCATCAAGAAGCCATATCAATGTCGTTATGCAAATGATTAAATGTGTCGACATAACTGGATGTTTCTTTGCTGTATTTGAAGGAAACTTGTTTCTTTTATGGCAAAAAAGCGTTAGCTCGTCGTATCCTGTTACAAGAGATGAGATAGGCTGCTTGGTTTCCTCATTAATCAGGAATGACGCATCTGGGCCAATCGGAGCGCGGATAGTAACGATGTATTTGGGTGCTTTGCATCCAGTTGTGAGGAATTTTCTTCAAAACGTAATCCGCTTTTATCCTTACAAAATGATCTACCAGCAACAACTGCAAAATAAGGATTCTGAAAAAAGTGTTCCATTTACTTTAATGGCTTAGACCAAGACGAAAATGGAAGATTTCTTTTCTGAGGCATTCCTAAAACAGATTACGTCCACTTTTACCTCGACGTCCACTTTACTCTTTCTTCTCGATGGGATAAACTAGTTTGTAAGATAAAGTAAATCTGTAAATTAAACGAATGTGTAAATGTCTCTAAATTCCTTTTCAGCGCTGCAAATCTATTAAAATCTTCACGTCGTGTTTTCAATCTTTATAGCTGTACAATTCTTATTAAACGTTTCCTGTAATTTACATTTTTATAAACTGTTCCTCTTATTTTGACTTTCGTTACTTCATAATATAAAAAATTTCGTTAAAAAGTCGTTCTTTAACACAGTATTAATTTATATATTTTGTATTAATTTTTAAAAACGCTTGAAATCTTTTATACTTAGTAAACCTGCTATTATAGGACTTGTAAACAATTCCAGAAAAATGAATTATATGAATTATTTCACCGAGCACGGAAATAATTCAAGTTCCCGCAGTGGTTCCTATTACATGCGCTTAGCAGAACGCGAATAATTTCAGCAAATTGAAATAATTGTTGTTATTCAAATAATTGTTGAAATAAATTCAATTAATTATACTGTAGGGCCAATAAAGTGTAATAATAAAAACTCCAAAATAAGCCACACCAGTTCAAAATTTCATTTGCTTTAAACAAGGAAGCTAAGAATCATCTAGGCTATTTCTAATTCGAAAGCAAATTACTTATCGGCTATTTATAGACCTGTATGAACTATATGATGAAAGTGTTTCAAAAGAAATTTTGCAACAAAAAATATTGCCAAAACTTTCTTAATTTTCTGAGGAAAAGAAATGCGTTTTGAGGGCAGTGCCGGATTAACTACAAACGAATAATAACAAATGTCTAAAATCCATAATTTGGTGGGACCCACCTCCGTACAGAAAGAAATAAAAATAAATAATAATATTTTTAATGAAAATATTTTATTAAATCTTTAACAAGATATAGTATGTATATTGTTGGAAAATAGCATAAGTGAATTTCGTCATAATAAGGCAATTAAATCCGCTTCCATGCCACATTTCATCACTGGTGTATAGCCTGCGAAAGGTACGTGACATCTCCAAATATCTATGCAGAACTTCTGTTTTCAGCGTTTAATATTCGTGTGTCTAGCAGTTGCTGTTTCATCGAGTAATTTCACGTAACGACACAATTCAGAATTTAAAAGAAAAAGAGGAGGTAGAAAACATTATGCAAACATAACCATCTTTAATGAATGAAGAGAAACATATTGAAGACTTGGATTGGTATTAAGATTAAGAAATAAGAAAGCAATAAAAACGTTTATAAAAAGTCCGAATGGTTTAAGATTTCAACTGTCCTCCAAGAGGCTTTGTTTAAGTTTTTTGCGCTCTCGCTGAGCCCGCAGTATACCGATCTACTACTGTATTCTCGCTTGTTAAATATATATATATATATATATATATATATATATATATTGTATTTAAAGCTTTATTATT